CCAATCTCCATGGTGTGACTATTAATGTACTACGTGCCTATATCAAAATATCTCAGGTACCCCATAAATATATACACCTACTATGTACCGGCAAAAATTAAAAATTAAAAAATAGTTTAAAAGTCTGAGCAGCCAGCATTATCACATTGTGGCTACAAAGTTCTTTAACAGGTATAAAGTTACAGTTTTACAAGATGAAGAGTTCTGTTCACAATGTACAGATGAAGAATTCTGTTATACAACAATGTAAATGTACTAAGCACTACTGAACTGTACACTTAAAAACGGTTAAGATGGTAAATTTTAAGTTATATAGATCTTATTAAAATAAAATTAAAACTGTGATATTACACATCTAAATATGAAAGGCAAAACTAAATTTTTAAGAGAAATACATACGACAGAATATCTTGGTGACATTCTGACAGGGAAGGCTAAGGTGGAAGTTTGTAGTGGCAGAGAAATTTAGGCACGTCCATGTTATACATATTTTGGTTAAGCAGTTTTTTAACCAGTCACTTGAATATGCTGCACAGGAAAATGAATAACTGAGTCTACCTTTCAGGGGTGAAGTCCAGAACAGAGATGTAACTTGAAGCCATAAGCATAGTGTTGTTAATTAAAACAATGAGACTGAATAAACTCTCCAAGGGAGTGGATATATATAGATGGGGTGAGCAGTTCAATGTCCTATCCCTAGGAACCCCAATAAACAGGAAAATAAGAGAAATTTCAACCACGGAGGAGCTCCTAAAGGCAAATAATGATCACCGAGAAAGGGTGCTATTGCAGAAGCCAGATTTTTTTAAAAATTGGCTGGAAGAATTAACATATCAATAATATACCCAGAGATACATCATACTAAGTGAGAATAATTATTTCCATTAAAACTAGGCACAAAACAAGGCCTACATCTTTGCTATTGCAGAAAAACAAAAAACTTACTGTACTCCAACAAGAGATGAAAAGCTTATATATTTGAAATAGTTACTTTTGGTTTATTTTGAGACAGGATATCACTCTGTCACGGAGGCTGGAGTGCAATGGCACGATCACAGCTCACCACAGTCTCAACCTCCTGGGCTCAGGTGATCCTCCCATCTCAGCCTCCTGAGTAGCTGGGAGTACAAGCACCCACCACCATACCTGGATAATTTTTGTAGAGATGGGGTTTTGCCATGTTTCCCAGGCTGGTCTCAAACACCGGGGCTCAAGCAATCCATCCGCCTCTGCATGCCAAAGTGCTAGGATTACAGTGTGACCTACTGTGCCTGGCCTGAAAGTTAATATTGTTACTACTTCCAGCTGATATAATCAACTTATTTTAAAAAAGAGAATCAACTAACAAATTATTAAACTGATTAAAAATTCAACAAACGATGGATATTACTACTCAAAAAAACACTTAAAGCAGTCATATGTGCTAATTTGGATTCATTGATCAAATTCAAAAAAAAATAAGAATAAAAGAATCCCATTAGCAATTGTTTCCGAACTTACATGAAACCTGTAGAGGACCTTATATTGGCAGTTGGTTGGCCCTATTCATTGTGTTCTAGAATTTTTGGAGATACCTGATTACTAAGTTCTGAAGAGAAAAGTCCATGTGCTTTCTTTCAATATATTAGTTGCACTGTCTGTTTGCATAAGATTTGAGGCAACTCAAACTGCACCACCACTGTGACCTTATCCAAATATAAAACAACTTTTCTATAACACACATGCAGAACAAAGCAAGTGTATAAGGAAAATGTAAAGTTATACACAGTTTGTTCAAAATATTCTTGGCAGAGACCACATGTGTAAATATTTGTATTACACAAAACATATCTTAGCATAATGAACTCATATGTGGAAATATTTGATTCGCTTTATCAAAATTAAACCACAAATATTGTAGCAGTTTTCTCTGTAGCTATCTAGGTTACACTGTATATGCTAGAACATTACTTAAATGCCTGCGTTAGGATTATTCAGGTGCCTGCAGGTGTAGCAGCCATCGCTGATCACACCCATCTGACCCATCTACCTGTGCCCCACTTCATCCCATTCTCTTACTAGGGCACCCCTGGAATTGACTTTCAGTTTGCATTTGTCCTATATTTTGTCACAACCATTAAGAAGAACAAAACCTGCTAACTCCCCTAACCACATTAACTTTGAGCCCACTCTTTGTTGGCGTTGAAGAACTCAGAAAGAGAGAAAACCAGCAAAACTGCTAAGACTTAAAAGATGCTATATTTTTAAGCCTGTACAAATATTAAGTGTTGACTCCCAAAGAAACCTTTCTTATCTAAGTAGCACCACAAGTCACCCACTAATAGCCCCAAATCGCAGGAGACATGCTTTATTCCAGTGTGTTTCTCACACTCAATGTCCAAACCATTTGTATGTTTTAATATCCTGCAAAATATATCCTCAATGTACCACTTCTCTTGACCCTTGACCCTAACCTTTTAATTCAAAAACAGTTTTCACCAGCTTTCTGACCGGTCAGCCTGTTACTGCTATGCCTCCAGGAAATTAGTACGATTCTTTAAGGCAGAGATACTGTTTCTTCATTTTCATGGCTGCATAAATCCTTACCAAAAATAAGACAGATTATTATCTTTCTTATCTCCCTTTGATACACTGTATACTCCTGAAATCATTATGATTGAAATTAGTGAATACTTACACTAAACGTTAATTTTAAAAACAAGATTTTTCAAAGCATCAGACATTTAATGTCAAAAATTAAGGTCTAAAACCAAAACCATCTGGATCAAAACCTCATGCTGACCATTTAGAGATTTTGGTCAATTGAATTCACCATTGAGACTTTTTAGGTTGAGTTAATGAGTACAGTACCTGCCTCATTACTGCAGTGACTGTTAAATAAATACATGTATCCTAGTGCACTGGGGGCAACAGATGGCTATTTTTAAATTTTTGGTTCAGGGGTACCTGTGCAGGTGTGTTACATATGTAAATTGTGCATCATAGGGCTTGGTGTACAGATCTTTGCCACCCTCCATGCAATGGAAATCCTCATCTGGGATTTATAGCTGGATCTCCCTGCTCGACATTTTGCCAGTCAATTCAGGAGCCTCAAAAGGAAGAGCAAGTGACCTTGTTCACTAAGAAAATCGCCAGCAAAGGACTGATGGTGGGAAGGGTGGTGTGATCATGTAGTTGTGGCCCTGTATTGTTACAACACTTTCAAAATTAGGCCAAAGAACAATTGGAATCTTATTTTCTTCTAGACTTGCTTTATCAAGGTAATAGGAAAGAAATGTACAATGCCAAAATAAGTTTACAATGTTTCCTCATGAGACATTACCGGGAAACAGAAAAGAAAAAAGCAGTATAGAAAGTCAAAGATGAAGGACTGATGGAAAAATCCTCCTTATAAAAGGGGATGAAGATTTCAATATATTTCACTAAGACATAGTTACTAAGCATAATGGATAAAATTAAAGTGAGCAACTAAATCATAAAAATGCTGAATGTTCATTCAGAGAAGTACACACCGGACATGGGCAAGCTTTATTACATATGAACTTGATTTCACAGATCTAGAATGGCCATTTCACTTAAAATTAACTCACTAAAAAGTGTAAATATCATGGTATAGATATGTTATCCAAAACTCCAATAGGCAGTGAAACTGGTAACAGATATTGCTACTCATCTTTGGACAGATACAACAGCAGTATTGATGAAACTGGTTCTCAGACAAACATGTACCACTTGCTCCCATACTTCAGGGAGGAGAGGGTGTTATAACACAGGCATTATTGATGCAGTGACTTATGGGTAGTTGCTCCTGTAGCCTGTTGGGGGAGGGGAGGAGCAGTTAAGAGCTGCTTAAATATAACTCTTACCTAAAAAAAAAAAAAAAAAAACATGTTCAGGTAACCTCATGCATGCTCAGTTAGAAGTAATGTGAAAAAAGGGTGGGCGTAGTTGCTCACACCTGTAATCCCAGCACTTTGGGAGGCCAAAGCAGGCGGACCGCAAAGTCAGGAGTTCAAGACCAGTCTGGCCAATATGGTGAAACCCCATCTCTACTAAAAAAAAAAAAAAAAAAAAAATTACAAAAATTAGCCAGTCGTGGTAGCAAGCACCTGTAGTCCCAGCTACTCAGGAGGCTGAGGCAGGAGAATCACTTGAATCAGGGAGGCAGAATTTGCAGTGAGCCAACATCATGCCACTGCACTCCAGCCTGGCAACAGAGCAAGACTCAGTCTCAAAAAAAAAAAAAAAAAAGTAAAAAAAAAAAAAAAATCAAATTTCTAACCTAAAATGTAATCAATGGTATTACCCAACTATATCAAATATAATCATTAGATATTATGTTATTAGAAGTGATTAGCATCTACATACTGACTAGATCACTGCCTTTCTGAGACTATCAAGTAATTATGCCATACATTTCAACTTTAAATGGTTTTCAGATCTCTAGAACAAAGCATATTTCTTTATGAAATGTCAACTTCAAGGCTAATTGTTAATATGCACAAGTTTTCTGGCATTCTTTTAAAATAAGCTCAGTAGAAAAACCCTTTCTAAGAAAGGTATTTTCTACAGGTATTAATTTCAGGAAAACTGTTAATTAGATGTAGCAAATTCCTCTAAATTTAAGCCTAGTTTACCTATCTGCCTACTTATATGTATATGGACATCTTTTTCTGCAGATATTGGTATAAAATAAGAGATCTGGTATGAGCCTTCCATGACAACTATTTCATTTTGTCACAAACTATATTGAAAATGAGGAATTTAGTATCTGAGAGGATAGGTAAGGACCAGTATGGACCCTATTCATGTTGATGTGCAGCAAGAAAACTAACTTTATCTAAGTACAGACCAGGATACCTAATTCTGCAGGGTTCATCTGGAAACCACAGCAATTTCATCATGCAGCATTCAAATAGGAATTCACATTATTTCCTTCATTGAAGTTATATTTAATAAATTATAGTTAACTATAAAATAAACAACCCTTATATTCTTACCTTATTAATACCCTTAAAATTAGGTTCCCATGTTTTACTTTGTTCGGGAGCTGGTGGCTCTTGTTCTTTTGTTTTTTGAGGGATATTTTTCAAGGTGTTGGCATCAAACGCATTTATTCCAAATTGTATCACAGATGGGAATTTAAGCCTAAACACAGAGCAAGCAAAAGAAAAGCACAGGATTAATAGCTATACAGATCTTTCTGTGGGAAAAATGTGTATTAGATATATGTTAGTTTTAAGTGATAACCCAAAATAACTGACTTGTTGGGGAAAGGCAAATTAGCTCAGTCAATCTAAATAAAGAATTTGTAACAGAATCTTGAATAGGATGTTACTTATTGATCCAGAATTGATCCTAGACTTGACTTTGAGGCTCTGGAGTCAATAAAAGTTTTGAAAAGCAAACTGATTGTTAGATGGGATAAACCTTCTATCTATGGCTAAATGGACTATGACTCAACCAAGCCAGCCACACACACATCCCAAGATTATAAATTGAAAGCAGAGACATGTATGTATGCAAAAAGATCCTACCACCAAAACCTTAGGCAGGAAATACAGACATAGAGACACCCCATTTCAAGGTTAAAAAGCATCTAGATTCCACCACCTTTAATTACCATCTCAACCCTTCCCCATCCTATCTTAGGAGTTGCAGTGTTTGTTCCCACTGCTGGTCTTTTCTTCCCTGCATGTAAGAAAAACGAATGTGGTTCACTCGTCTCCCAAAGCCAGCATGTGATCAGTACCAGAATGATTCAGATTCAGAGTGCATGTGTAAAGGGAGGCTAAAATCTCATTCAAATTTTCAATATTTCTTGTTGAATTGAGAAAGGCTAATATGTCTTAGCATACTTGATCTGGGAGAAAAATAGACTGCAGATAGATAAGGCATAATAGCTTTTACTTCTATCATCTACTATTGAAACAATTTTTTGAGAGCTTAGTGGATGCCTAGATAGAGAGTAGTTGGGATTGAACTATATTGCCAAGATCCTCCTTAAGACAGCCAGCACCAAGTGAAAAATTCAAGGATCAAATCTGATGTTCATGATAGACCCATTCAGAAAGTCATTAAGTGAGGAAGACCAGCATTTGGACTCACCACGGAGAAAGCATCTATGCTCAGTGTTGGCCAAAAGACCCCTACAACCATTTCAGTAAAGAGACATTTTCTCTTTTCATGTCTTAATACAATTACCCTATCCCAGCAAACCCAGGAAAGGTATGGGAAGAGAATAGATTTTAAAACCACAACAGGATCACATTTAAGAATCTACTCCAATACCTCAAACCCCAGCATCGTTGGAACTGGAAAGAAGGGAAGGAAGAAACATAAGTAAAGTATGAAATTCTAGCATTAAGTTGTACTCCACTAGGGCTTCACAAGTCTAATAACCAGAAAATGACCTTCAAGATGCTGTCAAGCATTGAGGAAAATTTTACGTTACATAAAAGCAGTGACTACACACTGGGTGCAGTGGCTCACGCCTGTAATCCCAGCACTTTGGGATGCCAAAATGGGCAGATCACCTGAGGTCAGGATTTCAAGACCAGCCTGGCCAACATGGTGAAACCTCATCTCTAAACATATGAAAATTAGTCAGGTGTGGTGGTGCACACCTGTAATCCCAGCTACTCTGGAGGCTGAGGCAGGAGAATCGCTTGAACCCAGGAGACAGAGGTTGCAGTGAGCTGAGATAGTGCTACTGCACTCCAGCCTGGGTGACAGAGGGAGATTCTGTCAAAACAAAAGGCAGGGAGACTACTTAAAAAAAAAAAAAAAAAAAAAAAAAAAAAAAAAAAAAAAAAAAAAAAAGCAGTGACTACAAAACTACTTTCAGCAAGGTTAGACTATCCAATAATTAATTAAAAGGTGAATATACCGGCCGGGCGCGGTGGCTCAGGCCTGTAATCCCAGGACTTTGGGAGGCCGAGGCGGGTGGATCACGAGGTCAAGAGATCTAGACCATCCTGGTCAACATGGTGAAACCCCGTCTCTACGAAAAATGCAAAAAATTAGCTGGGCATGGTGGCGCGTGCCTGTAGTCCCGGCTACTCGGGAGGCTGAGGCAGGAGAATTGCCTGAACCCAGGAGGCGGAGGTTGCGGTGAGCCGAGATCGCGCCATTGCACTCCAGTCTGGGCAACAAGAGCGAAACTCCGTCTCAAAAAAAAAAAAAAAAAGGTGAATATACCAATATCACTTTTTAAAAAGGCAACTACATTTCATGAATCAAAAGTAGGAATCTGAATGACATGTAACTTACAACCACATTAACATGCTCGTTTCCCTGACTCCATTGCTGTAAGTACCACATCTTTCCATGAGCCAAAAGGAGACTGATGGCCTTTTTTTTTTTTTTTTTTGAGACGGAGTCTCACTCTGTCACCCAGGCTGGAGTGCAGGGGTGCTATGTTGGCTCACTGCAACCTCTACCTCCCAGGTTCAAGCGATTTTCCTGCCTCAGCCTCCCAAGTAACTGGGATTACAGACATGTGCCACCATGCCTGGCTAATTTTTGTATTTTTAGTAGAAACAGGGTTTCACTGCATTGTTTAGGCTGGTCTCAAACTCCTGGCCTCAAGTGATCTACTGCCCTGGCCTCCCAAAGTGCTGGGATCCTTTTTTTTAATCTCATAGCCGTTACTGGCTCAGAGGCTAACAAGTTTACCAAGGCTCTTTGAAAAACCAGTTGACCTTACCCAAGTCAGGTCCTAACCCCTGGATCAATTAAGTGGAAGAGGATGTGTTTTGGTATGAGTACCATGCTGTTTTGATTACTGTAGCCTTGTGGTATAGTTTGAAGTCAGGTAGTGTGATGCTTCCAGCTTTGTTTTTTGTTTAGAATTGTCTTGGCTATGTGGGCTCTCTTTTGGTTCCATATGAAGTTTAAGGTGGTTTTTTCCAGCACTGTGAAGAGGGTCATAGGTAGCTTGATGGGGATAGCATTCAATCTATAAATTACTTTGGGCGGTATGACCATTTTCACATTATTTATTCTTCCTAACCATAAGCATGGAATGTTTTTCTATCTGTTTTTGGCCTCTCTTATTTCCTTGAGCAGTGGTTTGTAGTTCTCCTTGAAGAGGTCCTTTACATCCTTTGTTAGTTGTATTCCTAGGTATTTTATTCTCTTTGCAGCAATTGTGAATGGCAGTTTGTTCTTGATTTGGCTCTCTGTTAGTCTGTTATTGGTGTATAGGAATGCCTGTGATTTCTGCACATTGATTTTGTATCCTGAGACTTTGCTGAAGTTGCCTATCAGTTTCAGGAGATATTGGGCTGAGATGATAGGGTATTCTAAATATATAATCATGTCATCTGCAAATAGAGACAATTTTAATTCCTCCTTTCCTAATTGAATACCCTTTATTTCTTTTCCTTGCCTAATTGCTCTGGCTAGGACTTTCAATACTATATTGAATAGGAGTTGTGAGAGAGGTCATCCTTGTCTAGTGCCAGATTTCAAAGGGAATGCTTCCAGGTTTTGTCCATTCAGTATGATATTGGACTGTGGGTTTGTCATAAATAGCTTTTATTATTTTGAGATATGTTCCTTCAATACCTAGTTTATTGAGAGTGTTTAGCATAAGAGCTGTTTAATTTTGTCGAAGGCCTTCTCTGCATCTATTGAGATAATCATGTGGTTTTTGTCTTTGGTTCTGTTTATGTGATGGATTACGTTTATAGACTTGCATATGTTGAACCAGCCTTTCATCCCTGGGATGAAGCCTCCTTGATTGTGATGGATAAGTTTTTTGATGTGCTATTGCAATCAGTTTGCCAGTATTTTACTGAAGATTTTTGCATCTATGTTCATCATGGATGTTGGCCTGAAGTTTTCTTTTTTTGCTGAGTCTCTGCTGGGTTTTGTTATCAGGATGATGTTGGTCTCATAAAATGATTTGGGAAGCATTCCTTCTTTCTGGGTTGTTTGGAATAGTTTCAGAAGGAGTGGTACCAGCTCCTCTTTGTATGTCTGGTAGAATTTGGCTGTGAACCCATCTGGACCTGGACTGTTTTTGGTTGGTAGGCTATTAATTGCTGCCTCACTTCAGCCCTTGTTATTGATCTGTTCAGGGTTTCAACTTCTTCCTGGTTTAGGCTTGGGAAGGTGCCAGTGTCCAGGAATTTATCCATTTCTTCCAGGTTTACTGGTTTATGTTCATTGAGGTGTTTGTACTAATCTCTGATGGTAGTTTGTATTTCTGTGGAATCGGTGGTGATGTCCCCTTTATCATTTTTTATTGCATCTATTTGATTCTTCTCTTTTTTATTAATCTGGCTAGCAGTCTATTTTGTTGATCTTTTCAAAAAATCCAGCTCCTGGATTTATTGATTTTTTGAAGAGTTTTTTTGTGTCTCTCCTTCAGTTCTGCTCTGATCTTAGAAATTTCTTGTCTTCTGCTAGCTTTTGAGTTTTTTTGATCTTGCTCTTCTAGCTCTTTCCATTTTGATGATAGGGTGTCAATTTTAGATCTTTCCTTGCTTCTCATGCCTTCCTCCCTGTGTCCATGTTTTCTCATTGTTCAACGCCCCCCTACGAGAGAGAACATGCGGTGTTTGATTTTCTGTTTTTGTGTCAGTTTGCTGAGAATTATGGTTTCCGGATTCATCCATGTCCCTTCAAAGGACACGAACATGAACTCATCGTTTTTTATGGATACATAGTATTCCATGGTGGCTGCATAGCATTTATGTTTCTTCTGTTATCTTTGTCCCAGAAGGATACCCGCCAGATGTCAGCTTCAGCTCTCCTTTATGAGGTATCTCTTTGGATATAGCAGAGTCAGGGAGCTGTTGAGGAGACAGTCTGTCCCTTATAGGAGCTCAAGTCCTGAGCTGTGAGCTCCATTGTTCTGTTCAGAGCTGCTGGGCAGGTACGTTTAAGTCTGCTGCGGCAGAACTCATAGCCGCCTTTTTTCCCCAGGTGCTCTGTCCTGGGAAGGTGGGTCTTTATAAGTTCCTGACATACTGCTGCCTTTTTTCAGAGATGCCCTGCCCAGTAAGGAGGTAGCCTAGTCACAGTCTGCCAGCAGAGGCATTGCTGAGCTGCTGTGGGCTCTGCCCAACTGCTGTGTGAACTTCCTTGTGGTTTTGTTTACAGAGGTATAGTTAGAACTGCCTCTGTAATGGCG